TTTATCTTCACACACAAATATGACATTTTAATTTTCCTCAAAATACAACTACCGGTACATTTCATAAGGATTCATGCAAATATTGATTAATCTCCAATGTACATTTTGGGGGAGTGATTCTCAAATAGTACTGTAGTAAAATATCTTGATGAATAAACATGTAGGTAATGTGTTCCTTCTACAATATAAACAAAATATGGATATGACTTAGTGCAATGGGAAAGACATATCAAAAACTATATCCATCATTGCAGGTAGTTAATTTCATTCTTAATTTAAGAATGCATCCCTATCGTATTACATGTACATTGTAGGATCCAAGATTTGTATTAGAAATTAACATTGGTGTTTTTTCAGTGATGCTGAAAGTAGTTTCCTCAATTCATAAACATTTCTCATACATGAATATGAAGCATGAATAACAATTTAATTTATCGCACACCAATGAAAATATTGACACAGAGTACTATACCAACACATTCAAATTTATGGATGTTCCTTTCCTGGGGACCTAGTGACCAGGTTTTCCATTAACCTGTTATTAATGAATGAACTACAATACTCAGAATCCAGTCTGCATACACCATTTCTTGCTATGTCAGGCAAGCCTTCAGGTTTCCTGAACAACCTTTGCTTAAAAAGTTGCATAAAATCTGAATATGTTAGTAAACCGTCTATAGGAGCAAGAAGGGCACTAACTCTATGTTTTAGATTATGAGTTAATGCCCTTTTGGCTTCTTATAGGTACTATGTCCCATTTGCAGGCAAAAAAATGAAAAGGTTAAATTCCAATGGCATTTGAAAGATAATACTAATTTAGAACTTCCCTAAAAAAGGTTGGGCTTGAAAATGTCTTCAAGTGGGAAAATAACGACTATTAGTGGTCAAATCGACTTAGAAGCTGTAGAGCCAATAAGTAATAGTCTTGATTTTCAGACCATTGTACCAAATGGTCATACATTTTATGCTACACAAATATTCAATCAGTTTAATTTTGGCCATCACAAGAAGTGGGTTATTGATGTAGACAAATGCTCATGTAACCTTTACAGCTCATTTTATGTATGTTAATACCAAAGAAGGAAAAAAATCCAGTCAGTCACCCAATAGTGTCTGACAGTGAAGTCTAGCAAGTAAACAGGTTTCCTTGCATAATTTGAATATTAGGACACTGCTAACGTTGTCGTTTACATTTCACAGATAGAACATACATGACATATTCATAATTCCTGCAAAGCTCTACAGAATTTGAGGTTGGCTGCAAAAGGGACATAGTACCTTTATAAGATGATCTCTATGTGAGGAGGACAAGCAGAATTTTTTTCTACATTTGAGGTAAAATTGTTGGTAAATGTAAATTATTATGTGATATTGTTAGAATAAATACATCTTTCTTTTTAGGGGGTGAGGGGGCACCGTGCCCTGGTTGAACAAAACCCTATACCACCCCCTCCCCATTCCTTACTGGAAAGTCATGTTGCAAATGCCTCCCAATAATGTGACTTTCTATGGCAGAATTATATCACAATTAGCAATACAAATAAGAGAAAATGTGAAATATTAACAAATGTACATGGCTTGTACTATCAAAGATACAATGTACAAGAATGTCATGTCACGAATGATGCGCACAATAACCACAGAAAACTATAGCACAACAAATAATTCATACGTGTAAATATATTCATCTGTTATACAAATATAAATATCTGACTCAAATACCTTTACATTGCCACTTGGCATATATATATATATATATATATATATATATATATATATATCTTTTTTTCAATACATATATCAAAAATATTGATGCTTAAAGAGTTTTTGTCCACGTACATCATCGTATCTGTGACAAAGAATTCACACATGTTTATCCTCTCTCTTGCGCTTTGCAAAAATGCATATATAACAATCAAACAGGTTTAATCACTAATATCTTTGAAAATTGAAAACATATTCACAAAAACGCACTTCCAATATACATTTTCCTTGAAATGTCTCTTGAAAAACCTAGAAGCAGGCTCTACTTCAAACCATATCGCAGCAAACTTTAAAAAAGAAATAATCTTTGTAAAATATATCAATATTTTTTTTTAAACATAGATCCTCTTGTCACTTGAGTGAAATACAGACATGTACATCACACATCAAATACTGGTTAAAAACTTTTGCAAGAAAGTATTAAATGTTTACACAAACTGAAGCTAAACTGAACATATATGGTCAACATTCTTTGATATTGAGCTACAATTGAATGTTTGTGAAGTGCAATACAGCATGTGATTTAATAAACTTGAAATTGATATTGATGAGTATACAAAACATATTACCACTGAATAAAATGTCAGTGTCCATCCTTTTGCCTTCAAAGGGAATATGATTTCAAAATCTTGAATACAGTGAATATATATGTCCCAAAAAGCCTTACCAGGGCCAGGCCGGGCCGGGACTTACCATTGATGGTAACTTTTCCATCAATGGCAACTACCATGGTAACAGGGCTCAACAGCCAATCAAAATCAAGGTTTCCATGGTAGTTGCCATTGATGGCAAAGTTACCATCAATGGTCAAGGTATCTTTCAGGATAACAACTTACATGTGGAATTACTAAGGGCATTAGGCTAGGTAAACATACATGTAGATGTGTGCACACCTACAAAATAAATCAATGATTCTTTGAACAGCAAGCTTTATATATACTTAATGACTTTCTTTGCTTTCTTCACCTTTCTGCATTGTCGCTTGTTTGCCACATGTGCAATTTTACACACAACAACAGGCACCAATAGACCAGTTCACAATTAGCACATGTCCCAAATAACCCCGATTGTCCACAGATCTTCAAAACATGAAGAGGTCTCACTTTGAACATTTGAAATAATCACTCCTACAGCGATGGAGGTGCTACATAAATAGCCTTTGTTTCCGCGTTTCAAAGAATACTTCCACCTGTGTATCATGGAGTGCACCATTTGTGCATAAAGGAATGATTACATAACTTTCATGAGCATGTATACAGTATTTTTTCTCCGTGTATTTCACAATTTGGTCTGCAATGACCTTAATCTGTTCATGCTCAGACTGCAACTATGAACTGGCTTATTGACAGAAGGATTGCTTTTTGAAACACAATGGCGTTGCAAATTTTCCCATTTCCAGGGTTGATTAGCTCCATGACAACCCTATAAACAGCGGTAAAGATTAATCTTATATTGGAAACAGGTACAGTATATAATATTGAAGCCTTTGGTACATGTATACATGTATAATATGTGTCCATTATGTATTCCTAAATTGTTGTTAATGTTCATAATTGATTTGTAATGTTTTGTTAGAAACATAAATAAATTGAAATTGAAATTGAATTGAAATATAAATCTATATATATCCCACCATAAATACAAAGTATGCCACAGGGAAATTATCTGTGTGGCATGTACAGAGTTAAGCATATGCCAGCATATGCCAGGCTATGATTAGTTTTGCCGACCCGGGCCCCATTTCACAAAACTTGTCATCAATTTTTAAAAAATGACAGTTTTTGTTATAAGCTAGTGAAATCCTTGCATGCTTCTGATTGGTTATCAGCAGTTTTGTCACTCATTTTTTTCATTTGTCATTGAAAAAAGACTTTGTGAAACGATTCCCGACACGCCACTGAGGTCCTTTGGCAAGGCATTAATCTACATTTGTCATACTCGACCCAGGTGAGGTAAATGGGTACCTGGCAGGAATTAATTCCTTGAAATGCTAGAGCGCTGTAATGGCAGCTAGGCTAAAGCCAAGGTAATAATTAATTTAACAGCACTATATAAATGCCTTTTATCATTATTATTATTATTATTATTATTGTTGTCCCTGATTTAATTATTTCAGTAATCATAGATTTACCCCCTGATTGAATCTCGAATCGAATTTCAAGAGGGAATTTAATAATATTTTAATTCTGTCATTTATTTCATGAGTTGTTTTGATCTACAAACATCTACGAATATTCCTCTGTAGAGAGTGTTGGCAAGAATAATGCTAAGATGTACAGTGATTATTCACAGAAATGCTATTCAACCTTTAAAATAATCTGTAAATATAGTGTGTGTGTCAGTAAGAAAAACTCAATCACAACCTTAAATGCATTAAATGCTTACATGTACATCTAGTATTCCACTGAGAATGATGCACAACAAATGCTGAGGTACGTGTATCCAGTTGAGTTTTAAAAATAATAATACTACAATTACAGGGAGTGCATATCATATTACACTAAACTTTTATGAGATGGGGGATTGTGATTTCTTTTTATTCATATAGACTGTAGTAAAGTACTTTCCTTATAATGCCTACATAACTTGGGATAAATATTCAATACTCGCAAATGCAGCTGTCAACTTTGGTTAGATTAGGTTTGGTTAGGCCGTTAGGTTGAAATAATAAAAAGACAGACCACATGTGAATATCTCAGACTTTGGTTGACTATCAGTTACTAAATGTTGGGGTTAGATAACCTATGATAGATGGTTCCAAGCACAGTGTGTATGTGCAGTTGCGCAAGTACGCAGTAAATAGATACATGTATCCATAGATCACATTCTACAATGTCCAATATGTCATGACGTACATTATTCATTGTATTCTACTACCCTAAAACACAATACAGTGCAATCTTGGTCTTTGTTTATTTATGCTTTCTTTGGTTGGCAGTCTCGACAAGACCCTCACTCTAGTTTTTATGGCCTTCCTAATTCTAAACATACCGTTTTGTACAATTTGTACTGTATTGTTCTCCTAAATATATTTCATGTATATACATGTACATATGTACTTTTATTTTTTAATGTATTTGTTAGAATTGGAATAAATAAATTGAATTGAATTGAATTGAATGGAAATTACCTTGTTATATCAGGGGCCCATCTTATAAAGAGTTGCAATTGATCCAAAGGCGTAAATATTCTAAAAAGAATGAAACGCCAATAATACCAAACAACAACAACAACAACAACAACCAAATCAATCGCAAGTCCTCCAATCAATCACAAATAAGTTGTATATAATATCAACTCTTTATAAAACGAGGCCCAGGAATCTTTTTTACATATCAGGGTGTAAAAAAAAGAAGAATATTAACCACTGGGACCAGCAAAATCACTTTGTTATAACAGAGCTCTTCATAATGAGGTTCCACTGTAATCAAACGCTGTCAAAGACAACCATCTACCCTATGTATGGTAAAGCTCACTGGGTTGCAGCTAATGAATCACCTTGTATGGTCAAGACAAGTACAAATATACGAGTACAGGCATATTTTGGACAACTGCAATATAAATGAGTGAACACCCTATATACTCAAGCTGAAGTTTCCTGTGCTGTTTGCTGCAAAAATGAATTGAACAGAAAACTACAAGGACTACATTAATTACATCAAGCTTAGCAGGGTAATTCACATGGAGCACATTACATCTAGGAATGCTACCATAACACATGACAATTCAGGGACAACCATTTGGACATACCTCAAACGTGTGTTCTCAAAGTAAAAATAATTGAGTACACATAAAGTAAAGTGTGTCCTAACACACATTGCATTTCCTTTATTTTCTGTATGGATATGTACCGTTTTGTCTGTTTGGAACCAAAAGGGCGTCGACTCTGTGTCAGAGTATATGAGTTAACGTCCTTCTGGATAAAAAAAAAAGAAAGATCTGTTCTCGTTGATTTGGAAACATATGTTCCCTGGTATTTTAGATTATAGATATGCAGCTCCACATTTGAAATAGATTTGTAGACATACATTACAAGTGAATGAACTGTACAAGGTGAAAGGCACAGCCAGCTAGACAGGTGGATCTGAAACCATACATGTAGGACCAATAAAACATACCACTGCTCTTTGTTAGTCAATCTGGTTTGGACTTCCAAGGCATCTTCTCTTAGTGGTTGGCTGCAAACTTGAGTCATCAATCTGCAAGGAACCGCTGCCGCTGCCACACATCTGAGGGTCGACATGCTCCGAGGAATCGCTGGTATCAGCAAGCTTCTCAAGGCTTGTATGGGAGCTGATGGCCTCCATCTCTTGGTGGTGACCATTGTCCGAGTCTTCCTGCAGACGACTCATGCTCTGGCTCCTGCGCAGTCGGTCCTCTTCCGGGTATCTGCCGACGTCGGTGAGGTTGAGGGCTGACTGGGACAGTCTGCGGGTAAGGTGGCAACGGAGGGCTTCCCGTACACTCGGTGACAGCTCACCCGCTCCTTTGGTGGGCAGTGCAGGGTGGCTTGCTCTGGTGTTCAATCCATGGGAATTGGCAGGTAGTTCCTGGTTACCATGAGAACCATGTTGGAGGGGATTGAAGCTACGTTTCTCCCCCAGGAAGTCGGTGAGAGCGGTGAGGGTGTTGTAGCGGCCAAAGCTAAGGTCCATGCTAGCGCTCCTCTGCAGGCACTTGTGGCGCAGCATGCGGGAGTTGATGGAGCGGTGCATAGCTTCTACCGTTGCTGTACTGATGTGAGATGGGTGCCGTTGAGGTTGAAGTCTCAGTCTGGACTCCAAGGCCTCACTGGCTGAGGAGGAGGAGGGGGGCATGGTGAAATTTGACTGCATGCTGCTGGATAACATGGCATCCATGGAGTGACCATCAGTACTGTTGCTTACGTTTTCTTGCACATCTGCAGGATGGCTGCGGTAGGGCACAAAGGCCCCAGTACTGCTAGATGATGGCAAATGAGAGCTCCCATTAGTAAACATGTCAGATATCCTCCTCCTCTCTGTTTTACTCCCATACTGCTCATCATGATCATATGAGGTTGCAGCTTCCTGTTCAGTTTCATCAGCTTTTTCTTTGACCTTTGCCATAGCAGCTTCGTAAACCTCTCTACAAACAGGAATGGGGATTGGAATTGGAACAGGAATGGGTATAAAGACAGGGTGGGGGACCATGACAGTCACAGGAGGAAGGACAGAACTTCCTGCTGCTGCTGCTGAAGTACTACTTGGTGTGTCTCGACGGGGCTTGTGTTTACTGAATGGTGCGCTGTTGCTGGCAGAAGTCACTGTGCTGCTGGGTAATGTAGCACTGCTGCCTTGTGGTTTTGGTCGTATCTTCTTAAAGCTGGTTACACCTTGGATCCCTTGAATATTACCCCACTGCTGCGGGTTGAGTCGGCCAGTTGCTTTACGTGAGCCAGCCATTGAGGATTGATTAAGCCCTTGCACCATGTTCAGAGGCACCCCTCCAGACCCAACCACTTGCATAACTGGCATCTGGGGAACAACCTGGCGGAAGGACATGGCCTGAGGCATGACAGTCTGCACTCCAAAGACTCCACTTGGCCTAAGCTGAGGCATACCCATCAAGGACTGCGACGAGCTGGAATTGGTCTGGAACACCCCAGACAATGGAATGTTAGAAGGGCTAGTTTGGGAATCATGATACGATGTATCCTGGGAGACAGTGTCTGGACTGTTCCCTCTTGATAAACTCTGCTGCTGCAAAGTGGGCGACACCGGGGCGGAACCGTTGCTCTTGCTGCCACTGCTGGCACCAGCTTTGGTCCCTTTTCGTTTCAGGGACGGACCATCCTTGTAGTAGGATTCCATCTTGTACTGGTTCATGCATTTCGGGGAGCAGAACTGTAACCTCCGCTCTCCATCTATCAAGTTGATGTAGTCCTGCAAGTGACGGGTATGCCGACACCAGTCACAGACCTTGTTCCTCTTGAAGTATGCCCTTCTGCAGGAAGCGAAGCAGCGTTCACTGCAGAAAGCTTTCGACTCGGTCTGGGTGTTAAGGGTATAATGCTTGAAGCCAGGACTCTTGCACCAAGCACAAGTAATATGGTCTCTATCGCTACACTTGCCACCCTCTTGTAGACCTTCAAGCATATCTGTTCATAATAAAAACAAAAAATAATTTGAATTTAATAAGAGTATTACACATATATTTGCAGACCTATAAATAGTCATAGGCAATAGGCATAAATAATAGCTTAAATGGATCCCCTTCCCATGAAGATAAACTTTCTGGTTATTTCTACCATAACTTCAAATACTTTAGGCTTACTAGCAGCTTAAATTTATAATTTAACCAATAAATACACTTTCAAACATCAAAATTAATAACAGGCCTTTTCCCAAATAAATGTAAAATATAAAAGTTCATGTATGTAACTCGATACAAAGGATTATGAGAGAGAAATGGAAACTGTGCAATTTATCTGACACTACATGTACACACATGTAAACATTCAAATCCTGTCATTATAGAAGACCAATATAGAAATGACTGCTTGGAAACATTGTTCATGAACTTTAATGTCGTGACCCCTTGGTGATAATTGCAAATAACTTGCAGATTTCAGTATAATGTTAATCCGGGGGTTGTTTCACAAAGATCCTAAGTTGAACTTATCTCTAATTAAATTTGGACATAAAAATTATGGAGAGCCATTTGTAGCCTTAAAAAAAATATATTCTAAAGCCAAAATTCAAGTATTTTAGACTCTTTATTTATTCCACATCAAGAACATGGAATCTCCTTGATAATAGAAAATATGACTGATTTAAATCAACTTGTTATGCCTTTTAAAACAAATTGTACAAACTATTTTCATAGATGTTAATGGCTTTCCATAATTGTTAAGTCAAACTTAGAGATAAGTTCAACTTTGGATCTTTGTGAAACACCCCCCAGAAATGTTATGCTACAGTCACAAACGTTTGTACGAACGATAATTTTGTACAAATCTCCGTTTTTCCATTGTCTTCCCGAATTTCCATTGTCTGAAAATCGTTCGTACGGCGTTCGTAGCAGTTCGTAATGGCATTTGTGACCGAGGCTTTAAGTGAGACAGATAGGCATTAAATCCTACACTTTTATATAGGTTTAACAGCATCCTTCTGGCTTCCAAGCGGACAATATGATCACTTCATATCCTACCTACTGTACATGAACATGAACCTATTACCTGAAGCATCCTGAGAGCTAGTAGGTGAACTGGGTTCCTCCTCTGCCGACTGGGGATCAGAACCGGACACGGGCGTGACGTTCCCCGACTCGCTTGCCTCATCACCTTTGTTTGCATGCGCCAGAAGAAGCCGCTTTCTCAATCCTCTCTCTTCCAAGCCGCAATGAAAAAGGGAATGGAGTAATAGTGTTAAGAAATAGAACTGTGAAAATGGTTTGCTCTTAGCATTACATTCCTGAACCATGTATGAAGAGAGTTAAAGCCACACTGTCGTACTTGTAGCTACTTGCGCCCTCTATACTTGCGCCCTATATAGCAAACAATGCCTAAGCGGTGACTGTTGGTCCCCCATGGTCCTCTTTATCTTATGTTAAATTGAGAGCTGATTTGATGAGATAGCCACTTGTCAGTTACCACCCTGGGTGGTCTAATCCCTACTAGCCAAATTAGTACTGACAGGCTTTAAGCAAAAATGTAATACAAAGGAACTTAAACTTTATTGACTAAAGACAAGTTGGGACTAAGAAAATACAATTTTATGTTTTTAACAAGGGTCCTCTGAAATAAGCATTTGAATCAACATACCTCTACCTGACCGAGCTTCAGAATACCATCCCTGTCCCTTTATTTTCACAGTGTAACTTGGAAATAACTGTTAAAAGCCTCACTTTTGTATAGAGTTAAATAATTTAAAATTAATAACAAATACTAACCTTCCTTCTGATATTTTGGGGCTAACTGCATACTCTGGGTAACGCCATGTTCCACTTTCTCATTGTAACCATAAATAGCCAGCAACTCATTCATGGTGTCTTCAGCATAGTCCTGTGAACGAGAGTTTGTTTTCATTAAGAATGGTTAAAGCATTGCTCAAGTATTCTCAATGGTTTGTAATTGAATATATGCACACAAAAACACAATGGCAAAATGTGAAAAGACAGAAGGAAGCGACAGCTACGAAGCAAGACCAGGAATTGGAGAAAGAGCATAAATACTGTGGGTAGCGACTAGCCACAGCCACGGAGAAGGACCTGGAATTGGAAAAAGAACTTAGTTGAAGCAGATGACACGAGAGAATTTCAAATTCACACACAATCACATGGATTCATGTCATGAACATACAACCTTTAAATATATAGCCCTGCCCTGCATGTAGCCCTTTAACAACAACAGATGTTTTATCCAAGATATCAAGATACAACATTCAGCAATTAATATGGAAGGATTTTGAGCTAGTATATGGAATGAGATCTGAAAATCTCTTGTTCAATTGGTTTACATCTGTCTGTGAAACAAGACATTTTCTTAAAAAGCAAGAATATGGCACCGTAAAAGTGGATGATTGCTCATATCAGCGATGCACAGATATCTGTGCATTAACTTTAGTTGCCTTCAGGTGTATGTACATTGTACATGTATATGGGATTCACAGCAAACTGCTGCACAATACAATTACGGGCGTGCACATGTGTGTGAAGTTAGTTAGCGACCGTAATGATGAATTGCTTAGATCCTTGTTAAGTTAATCTAAGCAATTCTTCATTACGGTTGCTAACTTCACATACTGTACGGGCGTGCGTGCCCGCACCCCACCGTTAGTATACATGTAGTATGCAATTGCAATTGTATTGTGCAGTAGTTTGCCATGAATCCCGTGAAAAGTATATATCCAGAGATGCCAAGTTAAAAAATCAGCTTTGCGTGACATTTTCATGACTCGGCGCGCGGGCGAGGGTATAGCGTATAGCGTATATTTCGAAATCGTGCACACGCATGACATGATAGCCAGCCTGCATGCATGCTACGTGCATCATGCATGCGATATATGTACACAACCCTGCGAGGAGCTAGGGCCAGTACGTACAGGTAGTCTAGCAATTACTACTTATTTTTTTCCCCTACTCTGGCCCTGATGCGTGACAGAGTTTTCAGACCCTCGATGCATGACACTTGGTAGCTCTGGTAATGCTTTTAGGAAAAATATTCCCAAAAAGATAAGAAAATTGACACGAAACAGGTGACAAACATAACAACTTTTGAATCATGACCATTAATGAAGAATTGATGACAATTTAGTTGATTTTAGGTAGGTTTTAATAAAGTATCTCCAAGCCAGAGTTATGGGTCAAAGTATGGATATGATTCTGAATAAGCGCCTTGGTTTTTTCTACTTTTCTAAAATTCTAGATCTCTTTTTTACAATAATTTTCACCTTCATCATCATGTTTCAATTTGATTAAAAATTTAAAGACGTTAAAAAAAGATCGCTTGTACTTGTTAAGACATCACGATAATCGGCTTATCAAATCCTTTTCCATTTCAAATGAATACTTTTGTATATACAACTACAAGTAAATGATTTTGAACACACCTTAATAATAACATATTGAAGAAAAAAATGAATGAAATATTTTTTTCCAACACCATTTAAAATACGTGGGACAGGGGTAACTTGCCTGTATATCTTCGTCTGGCGGCTCCGTCTTGACTTGAATAAGTTGAACTTTAATGGCACTCACATCCGAATCCTGATCCGTCTTCTCCTCCATATTGGCAGTCCGATATCAAGGAATTCGGTATGATAAATGGAGAATAAATCAGATTTTTCCCATCCAGATTTGACACTGAAATATGTTATTGTTTTATAGAAATTGACGTCGAAAAAAATGACAAAAATAGCTCATTGTTTGCTGCCCTCTATAGTACATGCTCGGATCAGTCTTACGCGGACCTCAAATTGATTTTTAAACAGTCATAATTCAATGATTTCTATATAGAAATCTATACCGGGGATTTTTTACTAATTTATCCAACCGATGAGCTACCCCCCACCCTTAACTGATCTCTACAATATTTCATGAAGACCAATACCCCCATCCATATTGAAAATATAATCATATGAATGTCCCTCATAAGGCTCAACCCATGGTATGATGGCAATTTCCCGGGGGGGGGGGGGGGTTACATTTAGGAGGGGGGGGGGGTATATTTTGAGCATTTGCAAGCAATGTCCAGTTCAGGTTTTTTTTTAAATAGAAAGCTGGTCAAACCAGCAGCTCCTATAAGGAGAGTCCCAAACTGTTTTCTGCTGCTCAGATGATGTATCTCTAATGTATTTAAAAAAAAAAAAGTAAATTGTACACTTTTACTATTGTATAATAATATGTTTAAATTATACTGGAGAAAATAGACATTGCATTCGTTAAAATGCAACTGGATCTAAAAATTCCCCCCCCCCCCCCCCCCCCACTAAAGGAACGGAAAGACCGCATTCATGTTCCCCAAAACTCCGGTAGAGAGGTACTTTTCACGCAACAAAGTCCGGCTCGTAACTTGACTTTACACTTTGGACTTAGGGCTAGGGGGTGTTTTAAAAATGAGGGAACATGCATACGCGTACCCTAAATAACACTGAGTGTGTGGGGTGGGGGGGGGGGCTAAAAGCAAACCTGACCCTTACAAAAGAAAGTTAAGAAAACAGCACTCTTCTTTCAGTTTAAGGACCAACTCTAGCCAGCGCATAATCACAATGCTCTATAATTATAGTAAACCAGGTGATTTACTTAGGCCTATATTATACAAATAATGAATGGTTATGAGTTCAATGGTGCGAATATTTTCATGAGTTGAAAGATTAACATTCTATTCAACGAGGCGTCAGCCGAGTTGAATAGAATTAATGTTAATCTTTCAACGAATGAAAATATTCGCACCATTGAACGAATGAAAAACATTCATTATTTGTTTTATACAACATATCGAAGAAGATCTAATAGAACGTTAATCAACAAATTATGCTTTACTCCTTATATTAAAGATAAATTCAAGTTGGATTCAAGCCTTCTCGATTACATTCAGATTGCCTTCGCGTCAGATACACGCAGGGATACGCGCGCGCACGGCAGAGAGGTACGCAGTCTGCATATAACCAAAAATGCACGGCGCATATAACCAAAAATGCACGACCGTGCAATATACCATCTATTTAATATCATGTGACCAACAATCCTCCAATCGAATGACAGGGATCCACGTAGGTGTTGTATAAAATATCCTATTCGCATCCCCAGAGAATGGAAGTCTCACCCTTTTTTAATTCAAAGATTCAAAATGAGTAAAAAAGGAAAAAGTTTCGAAAATCATAAGATCCAAAGTTCCGTCAACCGCTCGTTGCACCCCTCGAAAATAATGATAAAATATGGCTTGTTTTATGCTAAAAAGGTCCAAATTGTCTCAATGGAAGTATAAGATGCTTTCCCGTTGGGTTATACCCTACTTTGCACGTCGGTTCTTATCAGAATAATGGTTCTAAACTACGAGTAAAAGACCTCTTTGCAGAGTTTATAGTAGCCAATTCCTCCCGTTTTCTACGGAGGAAAAAAAAGTATGGTTTGTGCTTGTGCTTATGTCATCATCAGCATCACTATAATGATGATAATATTAATAGCGATAATGATAACAATAATGATAATGTAATGATAATAAGTAATATAATTATAATAATAATTATTATAATAATAAGAATTATTATAATAATAATTACGATAACAATAATTATGATAATAATGCTAATTATAATGATAATAATCATAGTTATAATTAAAGTAGCACTTATCTCTTTTCTTAACGTGTTAAGTGTATAGGTAATGCCTGGCTGGAAGATGAGATCCAGTCCTGTGAATAATGAGCCTACGGGGAACTGAAGGAGAACGGCACGCCTAGAAAGGTGCTTTTCAGGAGGGGGGGGGGGGGGGGGGGGTGGGAGGTGGTCGGGAGCAGGGAGTAGCTCTCCGGGGTAGCACTTATCTCTTTTCTTTCGGAAAATATTAAGGGGAATACCTGGATGAGAGATGGGGGTCTGTGAATGATGATCCTACGGGTCACTGTGTCAATAATTGTTAAACTAGCTGTAGGAGAACGGCATGCCTTTAGTCTTTTTCTTTCTTTCTTTTTAATTTTTTTCCCCTCTCTTTTTTCTTCTTATTTGTTCCGTTTTGTTTATTTTTTTGGGGTGGACTTAATATTAAGTTAGCTTCAATACCACGATGCAATAATTTGTTACTGTTGCATACATACCGCATACATAGCTATAGGCCTATATTGATAGTAAGTAAATGCGATGTTGGTTTTGTAGGGCTAATTCCTGGCTTATATGGGAGAGATGGCCTGTGCATAATAAGCTTTAAGGGGCATTATTTACCATTATCAAACACGCTTAATTAGTCATGCCTCCAATTAGAAAGATAATAGGGGATGTTAGTGTTAGTCCCGGGTGTTAGTGGAGTAATAACCGTGCGAATCGTAAATAGAATAATATTACGGATTCAAAGTTTCCTTACCCCATCGAGCGAATCGAGAATGCATTGCCTCTGCGGACAAATGTGTTTCAAACTATAATTATACAGGATGCAAATTTCATGCTCGCATAAAGAATTGTAATTTGTTATATAGTGTCGATAGAATGCAAAGTTGTCCCGTTCATTCGCTATCAATACGTCTATGGTCGATATGTTCCCTTGAATGCAAAGTTCCCCGGGTATATTGCGCAACCCGCTCCCCCCCCCCCCCCCCCCCCCCCGAATTAAAAAAAGAATAGAAAATCGCTGGCCTCACATGCACCAGAAGTCCATCGGAGCCTCCCGGAGCACCTCACCCACCCCAGCACTTTAAAAAAATGCTGCTATCTTTCAGTCTATCTTTCAGTCTAGAAAATCAACATACATTTAGTTGTTTACATTCACATAAGGGGCGGAGGCAAACGTCCCCCTGCCCCTCTCCCGTTCAGGCAGAGGGGCTGTTTACTTGTATTTTATCTTATTTTGTGTATTTGAATTAAAATACATAGAGAAGGTGTTGGTTTTTTCCTCTGCTCGCTCGCTCGAGATTATAATCTGTTCATGTCGACATTTGGGCAAGAGATGTCAGCGCCCTCTAGCGGAAATTGGGACCCTATCTTGTCAGACCACGGTTTGTCGGTCCATGGTCAGACGAAGACAATATTATTTTGTGAAACTTTTTTGGAAGATGGTGGTAGGAGCAATAATGTATGCAAAATAATTCATTCTAGAAAGTAGGAGGGGAGGGATAAAACGATTTTTTACTTTCGGCATTAATGTCGAACCAGTGTGGAAAGCAAATAGAATGACACACATCACACTATAGTCATGAGCAAGAGAAATATTTTTTTATTGTATATTATTTTGTTTGGTGTTTCAGTAAGAAAGATTTCCACTAGATGACAGAGGGAGAAAGAGAGAGAGAGAGTTTAGAGACAGAGACAGAGACAGAGGAAGATAAAGATACGGATCTGTTTTTTTTAAAACTCAGATTATAGAAGACGAGAAGACGTGAAAGTTGTCCACTGACATTATAGACCAGTATGTCGAGAAAGGACAGGACAGTTCCGGGACAGTTCACTTCCCTGGTTTAACCAAATAAATTAGATATAAGCAGTGAGCAGGGCCAGGGGAACTTGGCGCCGGAGTGCCGACAGATCTTTAACGTCGAAATTGGGCATTCGTCAATAATGACCCCCCCCCCCCCCTCCCCCTGGCTCTCTCCCCTCCTGCAGAAATTTTTCGTTCGAAATATACAAACTAAACATTGATGATTAGAAAACCCCCCTCTCCTTGCGCATTACCAACCCAAAGACCCCACCCACCCACCCATCCGTGCAAATCGTTATAAATCCCCGGCCATGCTCAGGCTTTTACCAAATACTTGATGAAAATAGCACCTAATTGTGAGTTCAATATTATACAAGGTTTACAAACAACCAGAAAGAGAAAAAATGAAACCCAAACAGAACCAAAGCAAAACTTTCGAACTGAAAACGCCTTGAGGCGAGGCTGTGCAACCTTGTCCTCAGCCATCAAGGGCAACGAACAGCTGATTTTCATTCACGAGTCCAACTCCCGCCGCAATTGGATCGTCTGGCCCGTAAAACTGATTGACTGCTTTCGGGCGCACTCGCTGTTTACATCCGTGAGGTCACTGGGGTGGGACGTGCTTTTTGTGGAGGGGTAAAGGCTTGGCCAGCCAGCCTGATCTGTCGGCAGCGAGCACCTCTAGCTAGAGGCAAGCTTGAGCTGGCTTTGGGGCAGAGGAAACCTTATTTTGTTGATATTCAGTTGGCGCATCTTGGATACACCTGAATGTTTTTGGAGTCAAGAGAGGAAAAAAGGGTGTAACCGATCTTTTCACAGAGACAACTCGTAAGGTTAAACTGTCAGTTCGTCGGATGTAGGAGTCAAAACACAGTTGACACACCTCTGAATGCAGTGTCCTGGAGCTGGAGTGTACAAAACCTGGACACCAGATGGTCACAGTGGAAAATTGGAAGGTGAGAGTTTCGATCGAATTATGCCCTGTCAACTTTTCAAAATGGCATCTCACATTCTCACTGCATGTGAATCAATGACTGCATAAGTTTCTCTGACACTCCTTTTGTCCATGTTTTTCTCTTCAATTTATATCATGCAGACTCCCATTTTCAAAGGAGATATGAAGACTAAAAGATGAGTATTTGTAAACGAAAGAACACGTTTATTAGTACAGGGAGTCATTCCAACTCACTGGTATTTCAATATATCATTACTATTATTGTTTCTCCATTAAATGAATTATATTAGCCCCGAGAGAAAGAGAACTGCGGACTGCAAGTCTGCAACCACAGTTTCGAAAAGAGAAACAAAATTGCAGTGAACTTTTGCACTTTTCAGTTTTCATGAAACTCCATCTTACCATCTCCTTCCCCACAACCAAACCATCAGATCATTTAAAGCGCGAATTCAAAATCACAACAAAAAATGGAGACTATAGCCAGATTTCACGGGAAATCGTCTGTTTTTGTAACCAACTTGGACACACCTCCAGTTTAAACACCTTTGCGGCGTCTTTTGGAGAAATCCTTCCCAAGTACCAAGTATAATCTCTTGTCCTTTTTAAAAGCTTTCCAAGGGAACGTGACGTAATCAAACAATGAAGAGCACAAGTGTCATGAAAACTCTCGGCTTGTGTCTGTGTGCTCAGGTGGGTCAAACAATGGATTCTTTTTCTCTCTATTTTTTTCTTCTATGGGGAGCAATTTCAAGGGGTGGTTTGGGTAATGTCAAAGCCGAACCAAATCTTGGCATTAACTTTGACACGTTAATTCGTGACCTCCAGACGGTTGGGTTCAGGAACAGAAGACCGAAAAGGTCCACCGCATCCAAATTTGGCTTAGAGTTAGACTTCAGTGGTTCTGAACTTTCAAGCAGGATGTGGGCCTACAGCTTCAACGTCTTTCGAATTGGCTGATCATGTTTCATTAAATAGCTTTTCCAGTAATCTATAATCTAGTGTACTTGGTATATCACAACCCGTCGAAGATCGGGCTTTTTATTGACTTTGGTGGAATTAAGTCGGGAAGATTCAAAGAGTCAAGTTATTTTTGTCCTGCAGCAAAATTTAAATCCCAGTGTTGATTATTAAAGAGAAAAAGTTGCATATAAAGTATGCATATGGTCATCTTTTATCTGCCCCCCCCCTTTGCTCCACTCTCTCTCTCTCTCTCTCTCTAACTCACTCTATCTCTCTCTCTCTCTCTCTCTCTAACTCACTCTATCTCTCTCTCTCTCTCTCTCTCTAACTCACTCTATCTCTCTGGTTAGCATCGTCTACCCCTTAAAAACCTTGTTGTGAAAATATACAGTCATGTAGGCCTGTATATCCCAAATCCTACAAAAGCACGTTTAAGTATAATAATGTTATAATCATATTTTTATCTTCAAAATAAGTTTCGGCAAATAAGAACTGAGCACTTCATACGTTCCTGATAGTGATACAGGATCTACTGATGTAACCAATGTTTTCCATGTCAGGAAGGTAACTTTCAGCATTTGCGGCGAAACTGATCCGTCCCCGCACATTTCGCTTTTATTAGAAACGGTGTTCCCAATGTCTGAACGAACAACATCATCATCATGATCAATGTAGCTCTTTAAATAGCACGTCTTGATAAAATCCATAACAAAAATATAACAGTTGTAATGTTTCATCGGTGTATCAAAGTCGTATTATCATTTTAAAAGGAAAACAAAATCATCACGCGAGGATATGTAATGTATCATTATCAATTCGTGGTTATCATTGGCGGGTACAGTTATGGTGGGGGGGGGGGGCATGGCAGGGGACCAAAATGATAAACATATATGATACACAGAGCAATCAACCCCCGCCTGGGAGGAAAATTTGTATTCATCTTAAGTATTTTACACATCTTCCTGAAGTTTCGCTCTTCTCCTGTTTTCTCTTTTTGCCTCTCCAGTAACTACGTAGATATTCATAAGATTTTCTCTTTCTTTTTCAGAGCAAAGATGTTCCTAGCTTCAGTCCAAACCGCAGACGACAACGGGGTGTGGAGTGACATGTCTATAATCTAGAAGCTTTAGTAATGTCAACTCCATCTGAACGGACTTCTGGATAAACTTTGCATCGACAAGAGAGACAGAAGGTGACATTCTCGATGCCTCAGAAGCATTTCCACAATAAGCCCATGGATGGACTCACGCCAAAGAACTTTCTTCAGGAGTTCAGTGCGAGTTGTTTAGCTTGGTCTAAAGCGCAATGAATGTATCAGTTATTAACTGGTGAGACAGTGTGTGAAGGAGAAGGAGAAGAACTTACAAATTGAAGTTTGCTGCAAAGGATGATGGGGTGCTGCCGAAGTGACGATGTCGGGGGCGACGTCTCAATCACCACTTCGACCACGGGATACTATATGTCGAGGAATAAAGCGACCAAGCACCGCAGCAGGTTCTCCTTCTGTGGCTGGTTTCGAAACAGCGGGTTCAAATATTCCTTCTCGGTGAGTCACACTTCTCATGTCATGTTTTGAAGGAATATTAATGATTATTTTTAATGTTTTGTAAGATGTTGTTCTTTTATCAGAGAGAATAAGAGGCGCTATGGCTTTGATATTGTACAAAATGAAAGATATTCCTTTTTCAAAAGTTGGTTCAGTAAAATATGTGACGACTGCTTTACCCCCCCCCCCCCCCTCCCACATTCCCATCCCAGGATAGACGCTCCTGGTATAGCAAGCACGATATCCAAATATCCAAATAAATACACGTCGATCCATTGAAAAATTAAATAAAAATAATAATATACTATTTGTCTCCCTATAAGTTAGCAATAAACATTATATTAGTTAAAATAATATATACTTAAAGAGACAAAATCCTCCTTGATAATAATCACTACCACTGCCTGAAACTTTGAATATTCATGAAAAATTTCCGTTTCCGTTGTCATTCGATAATTGTCAATTAGAACTACTGTTTGGTCTACCTGCATTTATGCCTGAACAGTTTTTATGAGGTTTATCTTTTAGTGTTATCTAGAGGTTAGGGGTCAATACACTATAAAAGAAACAATAGCCCAACTCTTTCCAAAATACATCGTTTTGTTTCTATATCCAACTGGCCGATAATAAATATGCGTCACTGTCTATTGATATGTAGACAAATTGGTTGATTTAGAGGCTGGATTTAGAGATAAGTATTGAAGCATTATTGCCCTAAATTTAGCCCTAAAATCACAATTAAGCACAGCAGCTATAAGCCATGCAAATATAGATTTTCACCAAAGTATTATAGTGTTAGATTATTAAATCATTGAATAAAAAATATAAATGTATACACAAGTCATGTTCTATTAAAAGACATTTATTGAAAATGAAATATCATATAACAGTGTGGAGGATAAATATTGTCTCATGGTTTAGTTTTAAACACGAAAATGTAACAGTTTGATCAGTTTATGTCCTATTTTCGTCCAAAGATTCAATTTTGAACTATTATAGCAGTCAGACCATTTTATGCGCTATTTTCGTTGCAATTTGGTGAGAGCATGGGAAACCCAATTCCGTTCAGTGGTCCTAAACAAGTAAATTAAGCTAGACTGGGCTATTGATTCAGTGTAATAACAAGACCCATTTCTGTCAATGCTAATATCATTCGACTGATCAGGAAATTGGATGTTAGTGAAATGTGGAGGAATGAGGATATCAAAGCCTGTCCATTATACATGACCGTTGTAATATACTAGTACTTCTGTTGAGAAGAATTTTATTTTCCCATGCTCTACACCGTAGGCATGGATGACGGTGTGCCCATGCATGCATAAATAAATAACGCGCTGAGAATCATTTGCAACTATCACCAATATTTTGTCATGTTTGTAGTGCACATGACAATGTGATTGGTAGATTGGAGATGAACTAGTTCATTTCTTTCTTTTCTTTGATGTGAAGTTGTATCGTTAAGCAAATAACACGGTTCCCATCTGATAAAATATTTCTTTTTCTTTTGTTTTGATTATGACCATTCATTTTTATTTCAACATAGAGTTACATGTTCGAGATGAGTACATTTTTGGAGGTTACCTCCATCATAATCTTTTGAACTGAACACAAATGATAAACTTCTATGCCTTCACTGTATTATGCACAACAACAATAGCCATCACAACAAAAGATGGCTATTCAGCAAATTATGAAGAAGAAAAAACAGAAATATTAAAATCAACTTAAATTTCAAAGTACTTGGTAAGTCAACGCACATTATCATAGTAATATTTGTTCGCTTATTTCAAAGAAAAACTGAGAAAATCTTGATTTATGGGAACTGTCACTTCTTACACAATAAAAACCAACTTCAGTTTGGCTCATTTTATTTTTCGACCATTATTATGCGCGTGTAGCCTGAACGAATAACAACTCGTTACTTGCGGTGAAGGAAACCGCAAATCATGGTGTTTTTGTTAACTCTAACTCGAGCTGTCGAAAATTAAAGGTATGCTCTATTGATTTTCCGAATTTCTGATAGCCCGAATTACCACCCTTAAAAAATGCTGCGAAAAAAAACACGATACAAACGCCACAAGTAGTATTGAGTCAGTAGAACCTTATATAATTATGCTGGCTCCTGCACTCTTCTAAAATACTGGTAGAGTGTTTAGTGATTATTTATATGCCAATCAGACATAACATATTTTTTTGTATTTGTTTGTTATCCAGATCGATAGAAGCAGGATAGAGTGGAAATCTAGTTTACGATTTAGTACTTGAAAATATTATTCCAGACATGAATGAATGTTCGAAGCTGTAGGCGGATCTGAAATGTCAGAGTTACATTTATAGGTCTACAGTAAAGCCATCATTATATCTCTTTTTTTATAATTAAAAAAAAAAGAAGAAATCTTTGAAAAGGACAAGGAGTTAAACTAAGACATGTATACTATAGGTTGGTGGATAACTATTTAGGACTTTAGTGTTCGATCCATGCAGCAAGCAGTGAGATCACTGGTACAATACGTATATTTTATTACATTTATTAATTTAATCACATTTCACATGGATACAACGGGTATATAGAAAAAATTGTAATATACATTGACATATTTTGACAAAATAGCATAATGCGATTCGAGAGCAGTCCCATCAACATAATTAAACATGTAGGCTACAGAATAAATTAATACTTGACATTCAGACTTAACTTGCATTCTTGCAATTTATATCGCTATTTACGATTAACAAAAGGCTATACTGTGAAAATGATTTCACTCCTTGGCTCTTTAAAATGATGTATCTCCAATTCGATAAGTTTTATTAGAGGGTGCTTTTAAAGGGATATCCGACGTTGTTCGAAAAATACTATGGAATAAAGTGCAAAGTCAGGGAAGCATAGGTCACTGGTGGAAGTTTGAATGAACACGTAAACAAAAATGAGAACGTTATGAATAGTTGAAAGTTGCATTCACCGAAGGTATATGGGCTCTTCAAATCGGCTGAATAGGTAATGACTACGTCTCTGTGATGTAGTGACGGACAACCTTCCAATTTCTTCCACCAAAAAAAAAATGGGTTAAAAAAAATACGGTATACTCTCCATAATATATTTTGAGTAGTGCCCCAAGGGTGAAGGCACTTTGGATAAAAACCGAAATTAATATGTTTTTGTACATGACAAACGGGAGAGTTATCGGTAACTACATGTACGTCACAATTCACTGATAAAATTGCCAATTTGAGATTCGTATAGCTGTAGTGATCTCAAATTTTATTTATTCATTGCGTTAAGAGGATTTCGACGCGATTTTCCTATTCATTGCCTTCTTATTGGTCTGATTTATTTCAAACTTCCACTTATTTTTCTGCCTTCATACAACTGAACTTATGACAAGGTTTGGGTTGCCCTTTAAAGTTTAAGAGGATTATTCTATAAAGAGTGATTATTTGTAGAACTGTCTGTAGCCCATCCCGTGGTTTTACTGCCAGGGTAGCATTCTGATGAATCTGTGGTTTGATTAATGTGACCAAATTTAACCCATCAGGTTCCTGTTAAATGGAGTTCTTCAGGGGGATGATAGCCGTTGCACGAGTTTAAAAAATAAATGTTCATATAATTTGTTATTATAATTATAACGATAACTTAATATGTTACACGAGTTTTTAAGTACCATGCTGCCCATAAATTGGGAATAATTTTTCTTACATCTTTTTATGAAAGGATTGTGAATACATTAATTCTAGATAGATCTTTTCAGCACTATTTTATCATTCAAAGAGTCATACATGTAGAACTTGATCAACTAAATTTTCATACATGATACATGGTATAATATAATATGATATAATAGGATATGATATAATATAATATAATATAATATAATATAATATAATACAACGATAATTGATATTACACGAGTTTTTAAATAGCTGCTGCCCTTAACTTTGGAATAATTTTTCTTACATCTTTTTATAAAATGATTGTGAATAAAATCTCTATGGATCTTTTCAGCACTTTTTTTATCATTCAAAGAGTCATGCACTTGGTCAATGAAGTTCTGAGAAGTCATGAACTTTAATCTATCGAAAATATACCATATTGTATAAATCATTTCATGGAAAAAGAAACAAGAATTAAGTTTCTGGCAACAATGTAACCAGAGCCCCGTAACAATAAGTCAATCTACAATCAGGATAGTAACCTAGAGGATGGTTGTCGTAGGGGGTAGTTGTCTAGGGGTAGTTGTCCGGGGGATAGTTGTCCGGGGGTAGTCGTCCTAGAGGGTGGTTGCCCTAGGGGGTAGTTGTCCTAGAGGGTGGTTATTCTTAGGGGTGGTTGTCCTTGGGGTAGATGTCCTAGAACCATAATAAACACCCTTTTTTTGTTCATTTCGGTTCTGTTAGCTGAGCTATTGCTCACTTTTTCTCCGCTGTGATACCAATTGGTCAGTATCATACACAGGATATCTGTTGGCTATGGATGTATATCATATTAGAAGAGAAGAATATTAGAAAATGCATAGCCTATACGTTAGGATCGCAAAGTGGTTCAAAAAGTCAACCCAGTTTATGAAAAAGTGCAAGCAAACCGCGGGCAAATATTTGCACGTGATCCATCAAAAATACCAAGTACCTAAAAGTAACGAAATAATTAGAATTTGGGGAAGCTTGGTTAATTTTGATGTCGGTTTTTCTCTTAAAATGGACTTTCTTCCAGGAAATATTTTGAATTAGAAGACACATAGCTGACAACCTTAAAGTGGTCACATCCAAGCTAGGTTGTCTAGGTCGGAAATTGGAGTCGTCTGCCTCTCTGATTAGACGAGTTGCCTTAAATAACATATTGTGGTACAACTGCAGTGAAATATAGAAGTTTCTATTTGCGACATAATAGTCTGTCTCCAAGACGCTGACGGTCTTTTCTGGTCAGTGATAATCAATAAAAGAACGATCGAATGTTTAAAAAGGCAATTCAATCCTGATATTGCTATATTTCGGGCGAAAACAGATAT